CTAAATTTTGATCTAAATTTTGATTAAGAACCAAAATTTAAAATGACTATTTTGCCCTTGGGGTACTTTACCTCATAACTCATTAAACACAACTCAATGACTTGAGCATTCAGAGTGGTACATTCATGAGTTAATTGAAACATCAGAGGAGAATATTGTGGTTTTACTTTGTGTTGTGTTTTTTTTAATTGAATTTAATTTAAATAGTTATTTAAATTCACGAAATAGGGTTTTCAAAATTGATTTATTTAATTATCATAAATAAAGTTTTTATTTATGAGAAAATTATTAGAGGTTTCCTTAGGTCAGAGAAACACTTAAGCAAAATTTTAGGATTTTTTGAATTAAATTATTATTATTATTTAATTTTGGATCAATTTCAATGATTTAATTAAATAGAAAATAATGTTTTAATTATCAAAATTATTTTTATATTTTTATTAGACTTCTCTGAGTTCAGAAAACTCATAGAATCAATTTTTATATTTTTATGATTTTCAATTTATTTATTATAATTATTGAATGAGAAAATAAGGAAAATTCATTTTTAAACTTTTCAAATTTGTTTTTAACTTAGAAAAATTAGGGAAAACGTCTTAATGAATTCTAAGTGACCAGGGAAAATTTGTACACATTTTGAACCATTTTTTATTTTTAAAAATTTTTATTATTTTAGTTATTTTTAATTCCAAATAAACTTTGAAATTGACATATTTTCACAAAAAAATAGAGTTTATTTTTTTAAATGCCTCTGATCATAAGGAACTAAAAAAAACTATTTTTCATGATTTTTCTAAGCTTATTTAATTTATTATAATTATTTTTGTACAAAAAATTATTTTATTTAATTTATTATAATTATTTTTGTACAAAAAATACAAAGTTTCTTTAAAAATCAATTTTAGTACTTAAATAAAGCCAAATAATCTTTAAATTTTATAGTAAATATGAATTTTATGCATAATGTGGAATTGATTTTGATTAGTATATAATTTACAAAAATTAGCACAAGATATATACACTTAAGTAAATATAAAAATTTACAAAAATTATATCAAGTCATCATGGTATTTTTTCAAAGCTTCTTTGACCATAGAAATCTACTAAAACTATTCCCATAAATTTCCAAGTGATTTTTTTAATTTATATAATTAAAAATGGCCAAAATGGCCACCTTAGCTTGAAAATTAATGTTAGAAGCATAGTGATGTCCTCTGGCCTTGGAAAAATCAGAGGACATAGTCTCTATCATGAGGAACAAACCCTCAAAATTTCAAGCTATGGTGAACAATGTTTGATCATAACACCATAGGGTATTTAATTCATTAAAAATTAGGGAATAAGGAAATAATTTTTTTTAGTCCACATTATTCCCCTTTGTTCACTGAGCAAGAGGTTATTTTTTTATTTTTATGATTTTTCTAGAGAAAGATATGAATTTTTGAAGTTCGGGTATTTAAAATAATTCAAAAATTCCATATTTTTCTACTTATCCATGGACGCCAACTCATCCTACGGCGGCTTTGGGACTCACACGCGGCGCGCTCCCATTCGTTGCGCTTTCCACATAGACATGCCACGCGGCCCGCGGTTCACGTACAAAGAGTCTGTCCGGCTCAATCTCCTCCATCCATTGTATACACACGCGATTCGACGTGTCCCTATTATCGTCCCAAAATGACTTAGCACGAGAACTGTTCACACTAAAACCTTAAAATCTCTGCCTAGACTCAATCAAATTACATGGGGTTTATTTATAGATCTTCATCTACTCAAGATGAACACATCTATACGGTTAATCAAGTATGAAATCAAGCGATTACACATAGAGAGTTCAAACAAGCTTAGGTTAGAATTAGAGCTCAATGCCTTTGTTTGAGAGGGGAGGCCTCAATCAAATGGTTGTGGTAGCTTTGATTGAGTCCAACAAACTTCCAGATGAAGTCCCAAGCCCTGATGAATTGTCTAGGTATGATTTCAATCAAACTGGAGTTCAGGTGTTAGTCTAGAGCTAGGTTAGAGGTTGTTTGGGATGGGGATTTTGTGGAGAATCAACTCCTCGTTGTGGTGATGGTGTGTGCACAGTTAATTGGAGTTTGGTTCACTGTGGAGGTGTAGAGAAATTTGTTCTCATTTGGGGGCAAATTTCAGTGAATTAATTAATTGGCTCTGTAGAGTGGCTAAGGGTGGCTGAGAGCAAGGGAATTACACTTAGGAAGGTTTGAAGAAGCTCTGGTGAGATTTTGACAGAGTTTCCCCAAGGTTTCCAGATCTCTCTTGTTTGGCCGTAGAGGAGGTGAGTTTTTATAGAGGGCCTTGGGGTGGAGCTCGGGGTCAATTAGTGGGTGCAATAAGCTGCTTATGTAGAGGGCAGAAGAGCTCCAAAGATTCATTGGGGTTGGAAAGCTTGGATAAGTTCAATTGGGTTTAAGTTTGGTGAGGTGGCTCTCGATTTTGGCATTTTCCGACGAGTAGGGTGGCTGACCAGAGTAGAGGAGTTGGTCAGGTGAGCCAGTGGGAGGGTTAATTTTATGCCAGTGGGAGGGTTAATTATGATTAACCTTTAATGGTTTGACATGATGGAGGAGATTTCTTGGTTAAGACCCAAAAATGGGATGAAATCCCTTAATTTAGGGAACCATTGGTCCATAGATCACTTGGGTGGATTTAGGGTGTTTCACCCTAGGCCAAAGGAGGAGCTTAGTGGCTGTGGGGGTCCTTGGTTGACCAATTTGGTTTGACTAAGTCAATTTAGGTGAAGGGGTTCAATTTAGGTCAAAATGGCTAGAAGTTGGGGTTGGGTTAGGATAACCATGACATTGAGCTCAATTTATTGATCAATTTGGTGTAGATGATTGTCATGAGGAGTTTAGAAAAGATTTGAAGTGATTTTGAATTGGTTTGGAGGTTCAATTTGGAGGATTTTGGGCATTTGATCAATTTGGGGGTGTTGGGTTAGACTTGGGTTTAGGTTAGGCTAAGGTTGGGTTAGGTCCAAATTGATGGTTTAAAATGGTCTAGAGGAATGTCATACAGAGTTTTTAACATAAATTGGGTGTCAATTTTGGGGTTAGGGCATTCAATTTGGTGGAATTTGGAGACGACCAATTTGGGGTAAATTTGGGGATTTTGAATGTGGGTTGAAATTGAGTGAAATTGAGGCTTGAACATGGAAAAATGAAGGTCCAATTTGATGTGTAGGATTGTTAGGAAGAATTTAGGATTAAAATTGGGGTAATTGAGTAGATCATATGGTTCAATTAGGCGATATTAAGTCATAGGGTCAAAATATCAAAATTGAGCTCAAAGCATGGGTCAATTAGACTTGGATTTGGTTTAAATTGATCATATGAAAGATAAATTTGAATTTAGAATTGAAATTGGGGAGGATTGGGGCTAAATTGATGGGTATGTGAGGTGAATTTGAAGGAAGTGGGCCTTTAAAGACAATTTGGGGCTTTTTGGTCAAAGTGGCCAAATTGGCCAAATTGAGTTCAATTAAAGGGTCCAAATTGGTTTTGGGGACTTTTAAAATGATTTTGAGGGTTTTAGAAAAGTTTGGGCTACCAAGGGTATTTTTGTAATTTAGGCCAATTTGAGGGTATTTTGTTAATTTTGGAATTTTTGGGATGTTTTGGGCAATTTGGGTAATTTCAAATGGTTTGAAATGATTTTTGAATAAGTTTGGGTATTTTGGATGAATTTGGGAATTTTGGTCAAATTTAGGGTTTCAAGGGCATTTAGGTAATTTGGGTGGATTTGGAGGGCAAAAGACTAAGTTGGATATTTTGGTAGAATTGGGGTGAAAATCACCTTATATGAGCTATGAACCAATGAAATCCTCATTTGGGTCCTATATGTACTGGTCTTACCTAAACCCTAGCCAAGGGCCAATGGGTCTAGGGGAACTACATAAGTTTCCCAAAAGATCAAGGGATCAAAGTCAACAAATCTGGGTTTTAGGGTTGTGAGCGAAAGTGGGTGCAAGTGAGTGCAAGTGAGTGAACTAGCTCCAGACCAACAAATAGGGTCAACCTTAAGGCCAAGCAATTCTATGGGGACTCTCCTTGAGCTTCCTTTATAGTGGCCCCACAGTGGCCCCACCTACTATGGCCCCACCTACTATGTGCTAAAGGTTAGGACCAGTATATGGAACTTCAAGTTGAGCACATAAGAGTTTCGAGTTTCTAAATGTGAGAGTTCCTTTTTTTATTTTTTTAGGAATATGTAACAGGAAAGTCCTATGGCCAGACCTTAGGCTACTAAAGAGGGAAAACTAAACTTCAACAAAAAATGAGGTCAACAACAACACAAAAGAAAAAAAAATCTAATAAAAATAAAAAACAAACAAATCTATAAACAACCAAAACTGTAAACAACAACAAGCCCAAAAAGATTAGACATATTGAAAAAAAAAAAAAAGAAAAAAAAAAAAGAAAAAAAAAAAAAAAACAAAAAGAAACAAGTAGAACAACAATCACTTCACGGTTGAGCAAGAATCTATCTAAATAATTTACAACAAATATCTTCAATATAAACTCCCAAATCAATAAAATTCTTCCATCTATAAAAAAAAAAAAGAAGGGAGCAAAAAGAAAAAAAAAATAGAAATAAAAAAAATATAAAGGATTTAGAAAAACCAGCTAAACAACATAAATAAGAGAAAAAGAAGACATCAATATTGAAATTGAACTTAAAATTTATCTACACAAATATTAAAATATCTTTGAGGAGCTAATTAATAATAGATATTCAAAAGAATGATTGAATTTTAATATATCACCGAAAGTCATCACAATTTGACCTAATCTAAACTTCATAAAAAAGAAAGTGTATATCTCATCTTAAAGAGAAGTAAGCAAAACAAACATTACATTTCACCCACAATTTGAATTTAATTATAATTCTTTTAATATTTAATTGGATTTAAATTAAATTCATGGGTAAATCCCTTTTTAAATAATCTTGCAAGCACCACTTTATATGCGTACATTAAATAATTCGAATTCCGCTGTAACGCTTCTCCGACAATTTCCTCTGCTGGAGCACTTCATTCTGCAAAAACAAGAGCCAAAACCTCAGCAAAACCCTCGCATGGCGGTTTCTTCTCCTATTCTTCCTGTTTCCTTGCTTTCTTCTTCTATGCCACGACGCCTTCCGCTTCTCAATCCTTTTTGTTATCTTTGCGTCTCCATGAATAGAATGACTGCGCGAAGGCGCCTCTTCATTTCAGCGAAGGCCGTCTCTCTCCAGAGCAGAAAAGAGATCGAGACCGTCAATATCGCTGAAGACGTCACCCAGGTTCCATTTCCATTTCCTCTTCCTTCCTGCATTCTAATCTCTCACTTTCTTAATTCCCTTTGGGTTTATTGGGTTTTTTTTTTAATTTAAATTCACTATGAAACTATCTAAAAATATTGTTATTGAAATTCTTCAATATATTTGACGAAATTGCGATTTTTATTGGGTTTTTTTTAGTAATTTTTGGTTAATTAATCACCTTTTTTGTTTCGTTTTGGAAGATATGTCTGCCTACACCTTGTATCCAGAAGTGCAATTAATAATTTTGATTTTCACTAACAAACATGTTGGTAGTGTTTAAAAATATGAATCTTTACATTTACAAGTTAAATTTGAAGGGAAAAGCTGGTGGACTTAACTACAGTTTTTGGTCATATACATCTTGCTAGTCTGGCTTGAGGAATGTACTATCAGTTGGATAAATGCCTTCATTTATTTATTATTGGTGTCAAAACAAAAGCTATAGAATCTATGTAATTAGGTAGTATAACTATATTTTTTTTTTGATTTTTGGAATACAAGTATAGGATCCTCGTTAATCCAAAGTTTGATTTAATTGTTAAAATTTTGCTTTGTATTATGCTATCTATATCTCACTAAAAATGCATAATAGTTGTGTTGAAAAACATGAAATTTTCCATTTACAAATTAGATCTGAAGAGCAAAGCTGGTGAACTTAAATTCAGTTTTTAGTCATATACACTAGTTTGGATTGAGGAATATATTATCAATTGGATTTTTCGCCTTAATGCATGCATTATTGGTGTGAAAATGCAGGCTATAAAATCTATGTAATTAAGCTATATAACTATAATTTTTTTGTATTTATAAGTACGACTATAGATTTCTTTTTAATCCAAAATTTGATGTAATTGTTTAAATTTAGGATTGTCTAATGCTCAGGGGTGTAAAGAAGTTGAACTTGAGAGAGCCCGACCCTTGTTTGTGTTTCACTCATTTGAATTTTTTTATTTGAAGCGAGCTCGTGTTCGAAATGACTCGTGAATGACATGTTCATGTTCGACTTGGATTCAAGTTTGTTTGTTAGAATTAGCTTGTCTTCGGATTGAATTTATGCTTAATCGAGCTTAATTAATCGAGTAAAGTCAAGCCTTCCTTGATCTCTCGTTTCTAAGATTATTAAATTAAAGATATGATAAAGCTAAAGATAATTTAGTAAATTTCATTACTTTTATTAAAGGTAATACACTATGTATTTTTTACAAATATATTAATAATAACACAAACAATAATCACTGCCCTTCTCCGAACTCCGAATCTTTTCAAACATGTTAACATTATTTTTTCTCTTAAAAAGGTTTTCTAACAAGAGTATTCTGGATGTAGGACTAATAAATGAATGTAGTGTAGGTGCGAGGTAGGAATTCTAGGGACATTTACAAACATGCCACCCAGTTGTTATATATTTACAAATGTAACAACTAAATGCCAAGCCCACGGAGCGGGATGGGGCAGGCCGGGCACAATACTGGGCATTTACATACATTTACATACATACCATCCAATTCTTATGAATTTACATATTTAAAACCTAAATGTCATGCCAATGGGGCGGGGAGGGGCGGGGCGGGGCACAATCCTAGGGGCATTGGCATACATACCACTGGTTCTTATGTATTTCCATATCTTCTAAAGGCATTTACATACATACTACCTCATACTTATGTATTTTCGTATCTAACACCTAAATTTATTTCATACATCTATACAAGCCAAATCTTTGATATCATGTCATAGATGTCACTATTTTAAATTTTACATATTATTTATTTATTTTTTAATTAATTCGAGACAAAATGAGCCGAAAATGATCAAATAAAAATTTGTTCATGTTCGATTCGTTTATAAATAAACCTCAACAAATTTATTCGTATTCAACTCGTTTGCTTAATGAACGAATCAAACATGAGCTATTTAAACAGCCGAACACAAGCTATTAATGAGCTGAATACGAGCTTTTCGCGAACGATGAGCTTTTTTGAGAACTCTAATTGTCCCATCTATATTTCATTAAAAAGTATGTTGGTTGTGATGAAAAACATGAAGTTTTACATTTACAAATTAAATTTTTATGGGAAAGCTACTGGACTTAAATATAGTTTTTGGTCATATACATCTTGCTTGTCTGGCTTGAGGAATGTGCTATCAGTTAGAAATATGCCTTAAGTTATGTATTATTGGTGTGAAAATGAAGGCAATACAATCTATATAATCAGGTTGTATAACTTTAATTTTTTTATATCTAGGAACACAACTTTAGGTTTCTTGTTAATTCAAAATTTGATGTAATTGTTAAAGTTTAGCCTTGTATTATGCCATCTTTATTTTATATAACAATGGGAATCCTTTGCTTGAGGCAAGTGGTTCGATTGACATGATATGAAAGTTATCTTGTCTTCAGTAGCATTAGTCCTCTTGAGTAACCTATCATGTTGACCTCATCTCCTTATCAACGGAAGATTTTATGATGCTTGTTATCAGTACCTTGATCTTGATTTCCTCATCTTCAATATGCATCTTTATGGAGGAACATCAACAAACAATCTTCATAGTGCACATCTTGTTCAGAGATTGACCAGTCACACTTTTCTTTGCAGCTCATCTTCATAGTGTCAACACAACCCCCATCTTAGGAGCATGCATCTTTGAAAGTGATTGATCTCATGACATTCTCTTTGGCAGCACAATCAATAGTGTTTTTTTTGTCAGCCTTCGGAGCACATCTCAATAACACGTAAGAAGTGATCGATCCCATCTTTTTCATAAAATTTCTATCATTTAGATATTGACATATGTGAGCTATTTTTAAAACCAAAGCTTTCCCTTGGATCGCTCTTTTCAATTCTGCCTATTTGCCACTTGAAGATAAATATAGGGACCCTTTAATGGTAATGGTCCTTCCTTGTTGAGTTTTCAAAATTGTTCAGCGGTATATCAACTATGCTAAATTCCTAGTGTGGATCTCAGAATCTATTGATAAGTTGATTGTTCTTAATCCAATTCCTTATAAGATAACTAAAGATATGCGAGAATATTTATAAAATGTAATAATCAAGACAATGCATTATGACATTTTTATTTAGAATATGAGATTGCTAGTTACTTCCAAGTTGCTCTCTTTAAGATCAATTCTCTGGATTTCAAAAATTCCATTTATTAACAGTATCTATGGTAGAACCTCTTTCTATTGTTCAAGTGGTTCATGAACAAAATAGGATGGATACACTTTTGATGAAACTTTGTCTTTAGTTTAAGCTTTCTCATTCCAATTTGATGAATCACGACGCTTCTCCTTCATTGGATGCACTCTTTAAAGAATTGTTCATGAAAATAAAATCTTGTGACAAACCATTTTTCAATAAATAATAAATGAGAATGCAATTGCTTGTGTGGCCCATTGAAAGGGTGAAGTGTAAAATATGTAACAAGCTCAATGCGTTAACTACAAGTACTACAAATATATTGCTTCCTATTGTGGGAAAAAATGTAATTTTTATAAGAAGCTTTGTAACATCATTATAGAATGCGAGACTTGTCCTTAGAATCACTAATCAAATAGCACAAATGATTATTGTTGATCAAGCCATTAGCTTAGCAGTTGTGGATAAGTGACATAGGTTAAAGCTCTATCAGCCTTAAGCTACAAGTTATAAATGTTATGCCTCATTCATTATGGCTTATGGATTATGGAGCATCCAATTATATAAATTTTTCCTTGCATCTTCATAATATAAAACAATGTCAAAATTATAGTTATGTCTAATTTGTTGATCTATCATCCAATGAACATCATAAAATTTGCACTCATCCAATTAAATGTGAATCATGGGTTATTATATTTTTCACAAAGATTATTGTGATCCATGCTCCAATAAATTTTTCATGCCTTATTATGTTGTTTTCTTTGAATATCAGTTTTTCTTCCGGACACATTTTGTTCCTCCACGATAGATATATAATGAATTAATTCATAATCCCGAACAATTCAAACTTTGATTTATCCAATTGTACCACTTTTCAAACCAAACCTAAGATTTGATCGTGTACAAATCTGCCACCTAATCCCGCTAGTTTATTGTTTTTTATTCAGAGGTTGTTAAACATGAATGTTGGTGGGAGGATATTGTTCATTGCCCTCCTAATGTTGAGACCATTGATTGCAAATGGGTATTCTCAATCAAGTTATACTTTTATGGTACTTTAGATTGCTATAAGACTTTTTTGTTTGGCCTCTATGACGAAAATGAATATATGTTTGACCATAAAGAAATTCTTACCTTATGTCTACATTGACTACACCTTGATTAGTAATCTCCATTACTGCTTTATAATGGTCGTCACCACTCCACCAAATGGACATTAACAATGCCTTTTCATGGTATCTAAGCAAGGAAATTTACATGGTTCTTCCGGCCGGCATTTCCTCTTCTTAGAATGTATGTAAACGAAGGAGCTCTCTATGTGGATTAAAACAGTTTCCCGGGTCATAATTTGATAGATTTCAATCAACCTTATCATTTTTCTCCTTTAAACTGATATTAATCATCTATTCTTTTGCTAGGCATTTAGTGGCATTGCTCTTATCCTAATTTATGTTGACGATATTGTTATCTCTCGGATAAATGATATTGATCACCCGTTTGTAGCAAATCTTCTGCCACAATTAATAAGAAGAATTTTAGTGCTTTTACTTTGATTTTGAAAGTTCACATTAATCCCTATAGTATACTTATTTTAATTAATAAAAGTATGCGCATTATTTGATTACTTTACCAACCCTCAAAATACTTCTACGGATACTCTTTTAGAAGTAAATGTAGAGTAATAAACTGCAGGGTTCCAGAGGTATACTTTGATAAATTTCAGTCAATCTTTCTCTGTTTCTTTTTAAATTAAAAATAACATGTCTTGTCTTATTCCTATGCAAGATATCTAGAGGATTTGCTCTTCTCCTGATTTATATTGATTTATTGTTATCA